GTTCAAGGGTCAACTGTATACAATATTGTTAACTACAGTCGCCATGCTATATATTAGATCCCTAGAACTTACTCATGACTGGAAGTTATAACACTTTGACCAACATCTTCCCATTTTCTCTACTGCCCCAACTCCTGGCAACCACCAATCTACTGTTTCTATGGGTTTGGTTTTTTTTAGATTTCACATATGAGATTGTACAGTATTTGTCTTTCTCTGACTTACTTCACTTAGCATAATGCCCTTAAGCTTCATCCATGTTATCGCAAATGGCAGGATTTCCTTCTTTTTTTCATTGTAAATATATACACTACAGTTTCTTTATTCATTTATCCATCACTGGACACTTAGGTTGTTTTCATGTATTGGCTATCATGAATAATGCTGTAGTGAATGTAGGGGTGCAGATACCTCATTGAGATAGTGATTTCATTTCCTTTGGATATATACATAGAAGTGGGATTGCTGGATCATATGGTAGTTCTAATTTCATGAAGAAGCTTCATGCTGTTTTCCATAGTGGCTGTACCAATTTGCATTCTCACTGGCAGTGCACAAGGTTTTCCTTTTCTCCACATCCTCAACACTTATCTCTTACCTTTGTAATAATAGCCATTCTAACAGGTGTGAGGTGATACCTCATTGTGTTTTTGATTTGCATTTCCCTGATGACTAGTCAAGTTGAGCACCTTTTTATGTACCTATTGGCCATCGTTATGTCTTTGGGAAAACGTTTATTCAGGTCCTTTGACCATTTTTATTTTTGTTATTATGATTTTGTTAACTAGGCTTAATGCCCAGCGTGGAACCCAACACAGGGCCTGAACTCATGACCATGAGATCAAGACCTGAGCTGAGATCAAGAGTTGGACGCTTAACCAACTAAGCTAGCCAGGCACCCTCCCCCCCCCACCTTTGCCCATTTTGAAAATAAGATTATTTGCTTTTTTGTTATTGAGTTGTTTGAGTTCCTTATATATTTTGTTTATTGCCCCTTATCAGATAGATGGTTTGCAAATATTGTCTACCATTCTATAGATTGCGTTTTCATTTTGTTGATTATTCCTTTTGCTGTGCAGAAATTTTTTAGTTTGATGTGGTCCCAGTTAGTAATGTTTGTTTTTGTTGCTTGTGCTTTGGTGTCATATCCAAAAAATCATTGCCAAGACGAATGTCTAAGTGCTTTCTATTTCTTTTAGGAGTGTTACAGTTTCAGTTTCTTATAGTTAAGTCTTTAATCCATTTCAAATTAACGCTTATGAGTGGTGTAAGATAGGGGGTCCAGTTTCATTCTTTTACATGTGAACATCCAGTTTTCCCAATACAATTTATGGAAGAGACTATCCTATTGAATATTCTTGGCTCCTTTGTCACATATTAGTTGACTCTATATGCATGGGTTTATTTCTGGCTTTTGTTTCTGCTCTACTGGCCTTGGCCCCCCCCCCCCCCACTATTATACTGTTTTGATTGATACTGCTTTGTAACATAGTTTAAAATCAGAAAGAGTGATACCTCAAGATTTACTCTACTTTCTCAAGATTGTTTTGGCTATTCACAGTCTTTTGTGGTTCCATACAAATTTTAGGATTGTTTTCCATTTCTGTGAAAAATGCTGGATTTTGGTAGAGATTGCATTGAATATGTAGATGGCTTTGGGCAGTATGGACACTTTAACAATATTAATTCTTCTAATCTATAAGCACAAAATATCTTTCCACTTGTATCTTCTTCAGTTTCTTTCATCAGTATCTTATGGTTTTCAGTATACAGATCTGTAATCTTTTTGGTTGAATTTATTCCTAAGTATCTTATTGTTTTTGATGCTATTATAAACAGGATTATTTCATTTTCAGATAGTTTGTTATTGGTATATACACACACAACTGATTTTTGTATATTGAATTTGTGTCCTGCAACTTTACTGAATTCATTTACTCTGTTTTTGTTGTTGTTGTTGTTGTTGTTGTTAGAGTCTTTTAAGATTTTTTATAAATGATTTCTTCTGCACACAGAGACAATTTTACCTCTACCTTTCCAATTTGGATGCCTTTAATTTCTTTTTCTTGCCTAATTTTTCCAGCTAGGACTTCTGGTACTATGTTGAATAGAAGTGGTAAGAGTGGGCACCCTTGTCTTGTTTCTGATCTTAGAGAAAAAGCCTTCACCCTTTCACCATTGAGTATGATGTTAGCTGTGGGCTTGTCATATATCACCTTTACTATATTGAGGTACATTCCTTCTATTCACAATTTGTTGAGAGGTTTTTTAATCACGAAAGGATGTTGAATTTTGTTAAATGCTTTTCCTGCATCTATTGAGATGATCATATGATTTTTATCTTTCATTCTATTAATTGGGTTTATTGCATTTATCGATTCCAGTATGTTGAACAATCCTTACATCTCAGGGACAAGTCCCATTTGATCATGGTGTATGATCCCTTTAATGTGCTGTTGAATTCAGTTTGCCAGTATTTTGTTGAGAATTCTATATCTCTATTAATCAGGGATATTGGCTTGTAGTTTTCTTACAGTATCCTTATCTGCCTGGCTTTGGTATTGGGTAATACCTCATATAGTGAATCTGAGAGTGTTTCTTCCTCTTCAGTTTTTTATAAGAGTTTGAGAAATATTGCATTAGTTCTTCTTTAGCTGTTTGGTAGAATTCACCAGTGAAATAATGCAATCCTGGGATTTTCTTCATTGGGAGTTGTTTGATTACTGATTCAAACTCCTTACTCATTATTGGCCTGTTCAGATTCTCCATTTCTTCTTGATTGAGTCGTGGTAAATTTTATGTTTGTAGAAACTTATCCATTTCTGCTTGCTTGTCCAATTTATTGGCATATAATTGTTCACGTATCTGGTATGCCCCTTTGTATTTGTATAGTATTGGTGGAAATGTGTCCCTTTTCGTTGATAATTTTATTTATTTGAGTCCCCTCTTTTTCTTGGCTAGTCTAGGTAAAGGTTTGTCAATTTTGTTTATCTTTTTCAAAAACCAACTCTTAGTTTCTATTGATCTTTCCTATTCTTTATTTCTTTTAATAAATTATTATTTTTCTGCCTGCTGCTTACTTTAGGCTTAGCTTATTCTTCTTTTTCTATTCTTTAATGTGTAATATTAGATGGTTTACCTGAGACCTTTCTTTTTAGTACAGACATTTATAGTTATCAACTTTCCTCTTAGAACTGCTTTTGCTTCATTCCATAAGTTTTGGTGTGTTGTGTTTCCATTTAATTTGTGTCAAGGTTTTATTTTTCCTTGTGATTTCTTCTTTGGTCTATTAGTTGTTCAGGAATGTGCTGTTTAATTTCCATGTATTTTTTAAACTTTCTAATTTTCTTCCTTATTTTTCATTTAATTTTAGTTTCATATCATTTAATTAAAAGTATTTTTTATTTTGAGAGAGCGAGATCTCATGCATGAGCAGGGGAGGGACAGATAGAGAATCCTAAGTAGGCTCCATGCTGTCAGCACAGAGCCCAATGTGGGGCTGGATCTCATTAACCTCAAGATCATGACCTGAGCTGAAATCAAGAATTGGACACTTAACCAACTAAGCCACCAAGGTGCCCAAGTTTTGTATTGTGATTGGAAAAGATACTTGATATAATTTGTACTTGAATTTGTTGAGACTTGTTTTGTGGCCTAACATATTATCTGTCCTGGAGGAATGTTCCATGCTCATGAGAAGAATGTGTATTCTATAGCCAGGCCTCTTAGCATGGATCAAGACCCCTATTTCTTTCATTTTTTTTTCAATTTCATTTCCTATTACTCTGATACTTAACACTATATTCAGCTATCTGGAGCTAGCTTAAATCTCCATGGATGAGCTTTCTTTCCATAAACTTTATATTTCAGTGTAGATTTAGATTTGCAAGAAAGGTGTAAAGATAATATAGAATTCCACTGATGAAATTTCATATCTCACTCTTGTTTCCTTTTCTGAAGTTATTACCTGCCCGTGTTTGGCAAAATTCTACTCTTCTTCTAGATTCAATCTTGATTTCTATTCCTGGATTGTGCTGAATTACCCCAAAAGTAGAAAAGACACATGCTCAGTGTCCCATCAAAGCAGGGCGTCAATAGTTAATGAGCCAGGGAATTTAATAAATCCCTCCAAAGGGAGGAAAACCAGAACTTTGTGGTTCTTCCTTAAACTAATTTATGTTCTAGTTAATTTTTAATTACTTGGCTGAACTTTTCGTGCCCCTGGATTGTCAGGAACTCTCTCCTTTGCTTCCATTTTCTTATATACTGTTGTCTACAAATTGGACTGAACTCCCCCAAAATGGCAATGTCAGGAAAAGCAACCAAAAATGCCTGTGGGCTATTGTAGATTTTAAAAGACTAGAGAGAACTGAATACAAGTATGAAACTTAATTGTATCCTGAATGAAAACAAGCCCCAGGTATTTAAAAAAAAAAAATGGGGAGGGGGGGTGGAGAATGGACAACTTTAAATATTAGATGATATTATTGAATAATTAATTTTCTTAGGTGCCTTAACGGTATTTTGGTGATATAGAGGATGTCCTTCTTAGGAAATGCATGCTAAGATATTCTTGATGTCTGCAATTTACTTTCAAATGATTCAGTGAGAATAAAAGTGCTTGTGCACCTTGAAGGGGAGAGAGAGAGAGATGAAGGAAGAAAATGTGGCAACATGTTGACACTTATTGCATCAAGGTGATGGCCATTATTCTTACCAAAAAAAGCGTGTGTGAACAGTCTGTCTTGCCCATTGTACTAACGTGGTTAGATTAGGTTAGGTTAGGTTAGGTTAGGGCCCATCTTATGTCAGGAGCGTTCTAGCAGCTCGATAACTTCAACTGCTCCAAAATAAAGCAAACAAACAAACAAACAAACAATTGCAATTCTTTTTGTCACATCCCCTTCCTTCCTTTACTGCTCGCCTTCCTTGATTCCTCTGAGACCCAGACAACTGGGAGAGACTGCTGTCCCTCGGCGCTCTCCGTAGATGAGCGAACCCTCATTGGCTGGGCGCGCCCACGTCTTAGTCCTGTGCCGCCGCGTTTTTTGGAGGAGTACGGGTTCAGGGTCCGTTTTCGGTGGTCGCCCCGACTCAGGCTGTTGACACAAATGGCTCAGAAACCGCTGCGCCTGTGAGTGACCACAGATCAGATCAGAACCGTGCGCGCGCGCCTGTGTGTGTGTGTGTGTGTGTGTGTGTGCGCGCGCGCGTCTGCTCCCTGGGTCTTTCTCGTGACTGGAAGGGAGGAGAAAAAGGCGGGGGTGGGAGGGTGGTGGCGGCTGGTGAGCTCCGATCACGTCTTTGCCTGGCTGGGGCCGGTCTCCTCGCTTCCGAGAGGAGGCTGTCCTGGCGGCCCCGGCTAAGAGAGGCGGAAACTGCCAGCGTTAGGTCTCCTCCATCTTAGGCCGCCCTGGCCTCTGACACATTTACACTTCACTTCTCCCCACAGCCCATTTATTAACGAAAACTCCTAGGCGTGGGGCCCATCGGTGGGTCCTGGTCAGTTACGAATAGACTAGATAGATAGGGCTCGTGCCCTGGCACACTTCTTTGCGAGGAGGCGCTGGGGTGAAGAGTGTACATCGATCCATCCATCCATTCATCCACTCAACAAATATTTATTGAACAATTACAGTATGCCAGGCACCGTGCTAGACGTTGCACAGATGGAGTTCCTGCCTTAATGGAGCCTAGAGTTTTGAGCTAATATTAATCAGAGTATCCAGATTAATGTATAATTACGGTCTATAAAAGGAAGAGAAACTTCACGGTTATGGGAGGGAGTATAATAGGGGTATTTGGCCTATTGTGAGGAATCAGGGGAGGGAGGATTGAGCGTTGGTTAATATTTTTGTCTTTATCCTAAAGTCATTGAAATGTTTAAGAACTCCTTGGCGGGATCATATTTTTGTTTTGGAAAGCGATTCTGGCCGCAGTGTAAGAACAAATCAGAGCCAAAGAAGAAGAAGACAGCGAGGATTAGCTAGAGTGATAGCAGAAGAAAAGTGCAGGGATTCAAGGCTTATCAAGGAGATGAGATTAACAGGGTTTGGAGAGGGTTTGGCTGTGAGAAAGAGTCGGCACTGTGAGGTCCTACATTTCTGCCCTTCAGCAGGATAGAAAACACTGGAAAAGGGCCCCGGTAGTGGGGTTCTCTTAATGTTTTTGAGGAAAGAACATTAAACTGTTGGCTTTATATAGGTTGGTTAGGAAGAAGAGATGGCATTAGAGGAAATAAACGTAAGCATGCTACTTACTTTGTATCCAGTGCTAGATTCATTAGATCTCTCTCTGATTCTGCCTCTTTTCTATCACAGGACTCTTGGTTGCTCTGCCTTGGAGTGTCCTGCATTCCTCTTCCTCCTTCATTTCCCAGCCTACTTCACCATTCAAATTGTGTTCTGGTGTTCAGAATTCTAAATTTTTCATCTGTTTCTGTCCTTTTCGTCTTCATTGAGTATTGCCCTTTGTGGTGATATTCTTGCTTGTAATCACTTGTTCCTCCAGACCATCCTTCACTCTGTTACTAAAATGAACTTTCTGAAACGTGTCATTACCCAGCTTGAAAACGTTCAGTGATGGGGTGCCTGGATGCCTCAGTCAGTTAAGCGTCCGACTCTTAGTTTCAGCTCAGGTAATGATCTCACAGTTCGTGGGCTTGAGCCCTGCATCGGGCTCTGTGCTGACATCATGGAGCCTGCGTGGAATTCTCTCCCTCTGTCTCTGCCCCTCCCCTGCTTGCTCTCTAGCTCTCAAAATAAATATAAATAAACTAAAAAAAAAAAAAATGTTAAGTGATATGGACATACCAGAAAGACGTACTGACAAAACAATAAGAACTGTATTTCAGGATGAGTTCAAAGGCATTAAAAAATGGTATGAGAAATAGAAAAACTTAAGTCAGAATTACAAAAACTCAGAAATGAGATGATAGAACAAGTTACGTCACAATTTAAGGCCAGTTCTTCTTTATAAACTTCAGCTCTTGCCACTTTCTACCTTTCTGCCCCTTAACACTTTATGCATGCCTCCTGTTGTAGCCTTTTTCATACAAATTTGTATCAGAGTATCTCCCTTTCCCTGATTGTCAACTTTGAGGTTTGAACTGAGTCTTTCTCCTCTTTGTACTCCTAACATGATCTTAGCACAGTTCTGGGCATATTGCACTTAGCATATTGCAGGTGTTCAGTATATGGTTGTTGAATGGATGATTGATAGTAACAGTGGAAAGGAAGAGCTGGAATGAATGTGAAAGATGTTTGGAAAAGGGAATTGATGAGACTTGATGACTGGATGGGGGACTTGTGACTCTTGGTGACCCAGTTGGTGATACAGCCATCCACAAAGCTTGGGAAGTGAGGAGAAGAAGCTGGTTCAGTTTTGGAGGAGGTGAAGCTAACTTTTAGATGTGATGGGTTGAAGGTTTTGGTGACCTTTAGGTGGAACTGCCCACTGGTCAGTAATAGTTCACATGCACTGAACCTCTCTGGTAACCTCTGGTAACCCAGAGACTGAACCTCTGGTAACCCAGAGACTGGGTCACATATCTGCCTGATCCAGAAAGACTAACATGTTACAAACCCAGCTGGCCCATTCAAGTTTCCTCAATTGCCGTAACATTTGTCTCGTTTGCAGCTTGGCTTGTGGAGATGTTGAAGGAAAGTTTGATGTTTTATTCAATAGAGTTCGAGCAATTCAGAAGAAAAGTGGAAACTTTGACGTAAGACATTTCCTTTTACTGAATCTAATTTTACTGTTATAGTCAAACATAGTAAAATAAAGTGTGGACTTCTTTTTTCATTTCTCGATTGAACACATACTCTCCCTTTTTGGTTAGATTGAGTTCCTTTCGTGAGCACAGGAACTTAGTAGCTGCAGAATGATAGGGAAAGGGAGACCTCTTTACCTTTTTATACTTTTTGAATTTTTTAATACTCCCCCCCTTTAATACTTTTTATACTTTTATACTCGTTACTTTCTTACTATCCACAAAACTGAAAACAGACGAGCAAAACGTCCCTAGGTGATTCTAATCACTGGGTTTGGGAATCGCAGATATATTTCCTGAGTGTATGGTGTGGATTAAGTCAGATAACATGTGCAGATGCTTCACAGACCGAAGAGCCTTATCTAAATGTTACATGGGGTTGCCAACTAGACTGCAGACCCCTAGCATACAGAAGAGTATTCTGGGTATGGCGATAATCTATTCATGGGGTTAAAGATTGAGTAAAGATAACAGGCAAGAAATGTGTTTTTTGTACCCTGTATCTTCCCAGGGTATCTAATACTTAAAAATTTGTATTTGGAGACAGACTCGTGGAAGTAGATTTCTCCATCTTTCCCTGACCCCCTCTTCCCCATCCCTAATTTGAATTTGATAGCCAGTGAGCCAAAATTTATTAATTTATAGATTCAAATTAACTTCTGCAATTGCTGCTAAAGAATTATGTGTTGAGATTCTGCAGACTGATTAAGGAAAAAAAACCTAGCGTGAGGCCATTAAGTAGGATAATTAGCTGAATTATGTTAACTATCAATTATGTACTGTTTGATAAAAAAATCTCATATATCTGTTTAAAAAACTCATTTTAGCTGCTGTTGTGTGTAGGAAATTTCTTTGGCTCCACTCCAGATGCTGAATGGGAGGAGTATAAAACTGGCATCAAGAAAGGTATAGAAATTATTTTTATTTAACAAATGAGTTCTAACAAAGCTTCAAAGTTACACAGTTCTTGATGGGTTGTTTTTCACATGTAGTAGTTATTTAAGAATTTCCCTCTGAGCTCCACGTTGAGCTGGGAAGGATGCCTGTGCATCTAAATGTTCACATTTTGGGGGCGCCTGGGTGGCTCAGTCATTTGAGTGTCCAACTCTTAATTTTGACTCAGGTCATGATCCCAGGGTTGTGGGATTGAGCCCCGTGTCAAACTACGCACTGAGCATGGAACCTACTTAAGATTCTCTCTCGGGATGCATGGGTGGCTCAGTTGGTTAAGTGACCCGCTCTTGATTTCAGCTCAGGTCATGCTCTCACAGTTCATGAGATCGAGCCCCCAAGTCAGGCTCTGGGCTTACAGTGCAGAGCCTACTTTGGATTCTCTCTCTCTCTCTTTCTGTCTCTCTCTTCCCCTCCCCCCCCCCTCCCCTCCCCTCCCCTCCCCTCTCCTCTCCTCATGCAGGCATGCAGCATACTCTATTGAAATAAATATTTTTAAGAGAAAAGATTCTCTCTCTCTCTCTCTCCCTCTGCCCCTCTCTCCTGCTTGTGCATGCTCGCTCACTCTCTCTCTCTCTCTCTCTCTCTCTGTCTCTCAAATAAAAATAAAGTTTTTTAAAATGTTCACATTTTGAGTTTGGGTGGATTTGGTTTAAAGAAATAATTCTCTTCTAAGGCAGGAATTGAAGAAATGGACCATATGTGTCCTTTCCTTTTTCTAGTTTGAGTGTTTCTTTTCTTTTCTTTTCTTTTCTTTTCTTTCTTTCTTTCTTTCTTTCTTTCTTTCTTTCTTTCTTTCTTTCTTTCATGAAGCTCTTTAGGGACTTGTGTTTTCCTTATTCTACATTAACCATTCTCTTTAAGATGTCACTTCCTCAACCTAGTGACACTAATAGGCCACAGGTTGGGTAGGATATGTTCCACAGATAGGATTGCAGACTCCTTACTTTTGCTGTGATTATTTTTTCTGTGGGGAAATACTTCTCAAATTCCAAATCAGATCTGGTAACTATATGGTGTCATGTCTGTTTCTCTCACTAGCTCCTATTCAGACATATGTGCTGGGTGCTAATAACCAGGAAACAGTAAAATATTTCCAAGATGCTGATGGGTGTGAATTAGCTGAAAACATTACTTATCTGGGTAAGTTCATATTTTTTGTGTTTGTAATGAATATAACAAAGTGTCCCCAGGAATTAGTCTCCTGGGAAATTTGTAGCTGAATTCTTCTGTCATTACTGCTGAGAAAATGGGGTTCTTTCCCCAAATCTGTGTCTATACCCTTAAGACTCTGACATTTTTTTCTTTGTAGTCTCTCCCACCTCCTCCCAATCTCCTTGTACTCCCACAACCCAATATATCCTCGTGTGGCCAACTAGAGGAATAAACTACTTGACTGTGGTATAAGGACTACTTAGGGTATAAATTATGTTGAAAAAAATTCCATGTATGTTGTCTCACCATGTAACATTGCTAGATATATACAACTTGTTTATTAGGATCCTCACTAGCTATAGCTCTGTGTCTCATTAAACTTTTGGTGCTGATTTTAAGTTTTCGGTGCTGATCCTCACATTTTTCACTCCTTTTGTCCTTTCTCTGGTTCTTGGTCCACTTTTTAATTTTGGGTTAAAGTCGTTCCCTTTTGACCCTCCTGAATCTCTTTTAGTGATTCTTTTAATGCCTGGCCATTTAAAAAAGCACTGTCAGATTTTGTTTTTGCTTTCCCCTCACCTGCTGTCAGTCTATGACCTCTTGGATCATTCAACTTATTTTTTCCTAAAATGACTCCACTGCTCTTCACAGTTCTTTTTTCTTGGTCTCTTACTTCTCTGGAAAGCTTCTACATTTCCTTTGCTGTAAGTGTCCTCCCCATCCTTCCCCACCATAGTCCATCTTGACCTTTATTCTCTACGTCTAGCTGTGGCCCTCATGTAAACAATCTTATCTCATCTTGCTTCAATCATATGGGGCTCCTTTAGGCAAAAACTTGAGGGATGGATTTTTTGTTGTTGTTTTTAACCACTGTTGCAAGGTACACATTTTGAAATTCTTTTGTTGTAGGTGTTAGCATAGGCCTGAACTTGTGGCAGCTCTCACAGTAGTTATTAGATTTGGATTAAGACCCCTGCTGTAGGTATTTATGGCAGCCATTTAACACATGAATTTAGTGCCAGGAGTGGAAAGAGCATGGAGGTACTGGGTTATTTCTGTGAAAGAGATTTTTTGAGGTCCAGTAGGAGGAGCAAACAATGAACTTGATAGTGAACATGTGATAGTGAGCTTGAAGTGTTGGCAGTACATCCAACATGTCATTGGAAGTGATCTTTCTAGAGTATATCAACAAGGTCAGTGTGGAAAAATAGGTTTTGGGGAGTTGGTCCCTTAAAGATGGAAAACAAAGCTGAGAAGGATCAAATTGTTTCAGGGGAAATAAAATGAGAAGGAAAGCACCACGCTGTGGTGGGGGTATATATCTTCTCTAGGCAGCAGGCAGGATCGCTGAAAGCGATTAGAGCAGTGTTTGGGGAGGTAAAGATATTGTCAAGTTCATAGACTCTAAGTGAAGAGAGACTGATTTGGGAGGAGAGACCATTGACAGTTACAGGGTGATTCATGACCTTTCCGAGAACGGTGGGAGATGGAAACCAGAGTACAGTGGGTTCAGGAACTAAGAGGTAAAGCACTTAGCATGGTCTGCTCTTTTGAGAAATTGGAAACAGAAGAGAAAGGAGTTTTCAGTTAGTGTGTGAGTTCTTTTATTAGTTTTTTATTAGTGTGTGTGTTCCTTTATCAGTTAGTATGTATGTTAATTGGCATGTTCCTTTAGTAATTAGTATGTCTGTTAGTATGTTTAATACTTTATTCTTTTCTGAGTGGAAAGAGCCAGCTGAGAAGAGGAGACTGAGTAGGTGAAAGGAAGGTGAAAATTGACAGAGCAAGGTCTTGAAGGCAGCAGGAAGAAACAGGATCAAGGGCCCAAGCCAGGAATAAATTTAAAAAAGGGTAGAGTCTCAAGTTTTTCCCAGTTGCTCTTTCCAGATGTTTTCCATCCATTGGAAGCCGCTGCCTGCATGAAGAGTATGTGTATTCTAGACTGAACTTTCCTCAGAACTGCAGTTCCTTTTTCTTATTATGTCTCTCTGGGTCCAAGTGTCTGGGTTTCTTTCTTTTTCTCTTTTTCTTTTTTTTCTTTTAAAGTTTATTTATTTATTTTGAGAGAGAGACAGTTTGAGTGGGGGAGGAGCAGAGAGAGAGAATCCCAAATAGGCTCTGCACTGTTGGTGCAGAGCCCCATGCAGGGTTCGAACTCATGAACTAGGAGGTCATGATCTGAGCTGAAATCAAGAGTCAGGTACTTAACTGACTGAGCCATCCGGGTGCCCCTCTTTTTTTTTTTTTTTTTTTTTTTTGTTTATTTATTTTGAGAGAGATAGTGAGAATGAGGGGTGGGGCAGAGAGAGAGGGAGAGAGAGAATCCCGAGAAGGCTCTGCACTGTCAGTGCAGAGCCCGATGCGAGGCTCTATCCCACGAACTGTGAGATAATGACCTGAGCCGAAATCAGGAGTTGGACGCTTAACTGACTGAGCCACCCAGGCACCCCTGGGTTTCTTTTAATCCATGTAGAATCTCTTCCAGAAGACAGGAAGGCTTTTTCTTAATCACTGCTACCCAACTTTTTTCATTTGTAAGGCATCTGGGGTAAACAGACTAGCCCATGGGCTCCAGTGGCCTCCACATAAGGGCTGCTGTCCCTGAACAGGAACACAGTTGTAGCCATCCGCCACTGAGACCCTGCAGCCAGAAGAGGGACTCTAGAAGAGTCTGTGCTTATTTAGACATGCAGAATGGCAGGGAGGTAGGCAAGTCATGGCGGGGAGAGAGATTCATCACCATAATAACATTTCTGCAGTTTTGACTAAAACTTGTCCATTTTTCTTTGAACCCAGGTCGTAAAGGTATCTTCACTGGAAGCTCGGGGCTGCAGATTGTGTACCTCAGTGGGACAGAGTCCGTAGATGAGCCAGTCCCAGGTTACAGTTTTAGTCCCAAGGATGTGTCTTCCCTGAGGACAATGCTGTGTTCAACATCCCAGTTTAAGGGTGTTGATATCTTGCTCACATCCCCATGGCCCAAGTATGTGGGGAACTTTGGGAATTCTTCTGTGAGTAGTGCTTGTTCAGTTGGAATTTCTGTAAGCAAATTGCACTGGCTTATTTTGGGCTCTTTTTGCTCTTTATATTGAACATTTCAGCTCTTAGGACCTTTCAGTAGAAATTTTTTATAAATTGTTTCAGGATACTTAAAAGTATATCAATTAACCAAAGCAAAAACTTTAAAACAGATTGATCTTATGAAAGCACCATTCACAGATGAGATTGCTAAAATTCTAATTATAAGTGAGTTATTCTTTAAATTATATTCTCTGCATCAAGTGCCTTCTTTCAAGCTTCCTTTTAATGTGTTTTGAGGGATTACTAATTTTTAGTTAAAAGATTTACAGCTAGTGGCTGCTCTTTAGTTGTATCCCCCCTCTCCTCCCCACATTCCATTGCACATTGTAGTATTTTGGCTTTTAAAATATTTTTTTATTTCCTAGTTTAAATTTTTCCTAGTTTAAATTTTTTTAACTAGTTTAACTAGTTTAATTTAACTAGTTTTTTCCTAGTTTAAATTTTATTTATTTTTGAGAGAGAGAGAGAGAGAGAGAGAGAGAAAGGGGTGGGGGGAGGGGCAGAGAGAGAAGGAGAGAGAGAGTCCCAAGTAGGTTCCATCCTTCACACCAAACCTAACATAGGGTTCAAAGCCACAACCGGGAGATCATGACTTAAGCCAAAATCAAGAGTTGGACACTCAACTGACTTAGCCATTCAGGCACACTTCAAAATATTTTTTTTAATGGAATCATTATGAGATCAAAGATAGTTGATCTAAAGATGGGAAAAGAAATGTTGAAAACTTGTTATTTCTCTAATGTGAAAGCTTTAATGTTGGGATGCATTGGAGCTCACCATTGCATTTGATCTTAATATTTTAATAAACAGTCTAAAAGAGGATGTGTATCAGATTGGGAAGTGACCACCATCACATTGGTGGAAATAAGCCTAAGGAAGATCTTGAAAGGTTGTATATGAGGGCAGAAAGCATCAGCTGAGTTTCAGTGAAGGGAAACCTAAGAATGCATTTAGAGACAAGTGTCAATTAGTAGATGCAGAGTTATCGGTAATGATCCAGAAAAAGGTCTTGTAGACCACTCTCTGCCAACTTCACGATGTGTCTGGACCAAAATAGCCAACAAGATACCAGGCCTTGTCAGGGGTGGGGTGTTGAAAGGAAAAGGGACAGTGCTGTCTTCCCCTGCCATCAATCCATGGCTGTTTCCATCTAGAATTCAAGGGGCAGTGCTGGTTGCAGTGAGAAGGTACGGCAAAGCTAGGGAAGATAGGAGGAGGACTAAGTTGCCGGTGGAAGGGAGGAAGACACGTATAATACTCTGTGAGGAAGGATGAGAAAAATGAGGCCCCTTCATTTTGGGGGTGCTAACAAAAGGATTTGATTAAAGTTTATAAAAGACTACATATCATCTTTATGGGGAGAAAACAATACAGTTTATCAGTCTCTGAGATACTACAACTAACCTCGAGGCTGATTCCCTGCACTTCAGCAGAAACTTGAAGGAAGTGAGCATAAGTAAAAGGAATTTCTTGCTTTACTTAGTAGAAAACTAATTTGGGTAATTTCTTTATTTGCAGCTAATACCTTCTCAAGTTCATAAGTAATATGAATGAGACATCACATAATTTGTTGTTAATGAAAGCTAGGGATGTTTGGGGAATAAAGTTGATATTTTTGATGAACTTTATGTTACAAACTTTGACCAGGGTGTGGTTGTGCCTTCCACAAACCACACCTTTCTTGACTGAAGCAAAATAAAGGATTGCATGCTTACGTCATGAGGTCATTGAATATTCCATTCCAGATGTTCTATGGATCCTAAGGACCCTGGAAGCTAGCTTTTAATTTTTATTTTTTTGCATTGACTCTGAATGTCTGCATTGTCAGAACTATGGATGTGTAACAACGCAGATTATAGAAGCATAGTCTGTGGGCTCCAGAGAGAGAGCTTGCTTTCCAAAAAGATTAGAATAAACCCTGTTTTGGGTATTAGTATGGAAGGCTCACCTTACCTTTTAACCCCTGCTTCCTGCAGTTGTCCTCTCTGCACTTAACAATAGCCTGCTTCCTCTTCTGTGTTTGAGGTTTCTCTGATTGCCACAAGTTGTGGATATTACTCTCCAAATCCTACTGCCTACATTTGTATCGACATAAAAATTTCAAAGACATTTAAATTATCCTATTTCTTTGCATTTCTTGATAACTCCTAGGTCTGTTATGATGACTGAGTTTCTTTTTCCTAGGGAGAAGTGGATACCAAAAAATGTGGCTCTGCTTTGATCTCCGGTCTTGCCACAGACTTGAAACCAAGATACCATTTTGCTGCTTTGGAAAAGACCTATTATGAGAGACTTCCCTATCGGTGAGTAGCATTTCATTATTTTGGCTTTTTGAAGAATTTGCCTTGGATCTTCTGTGGGAACTTCTCTTGTTCGTTTTAGCCATGTAACATCTTCGTTCCTTTTGGTGACTCAGGCACCGAAGTGAGTGGCTCTCAAATTACTCAGCTTTTCTGAGTTTGTTTCCTAATTAGAAATACAAGGGATTGGACCGTATACAGCCCCTTAACAGTTTGAGCGTCTGAAGTAATAATACTGTTATCATAGTATTAATCATCACTGCTTTATGTAGCACAGCGCATTAGGTCAAACCGGTACTCCTTGTACAGTCTTGAAAACTCATTTCTCACTATAAGCATGTCAGCAGTATTTCAGTTTAAGAATCAAGAATTTGTATCAATTTGTTTTTTGCTTTTTCATAGTTTGAGTTTGGAGGTGGGTTTTTTTTTTTTAATGTTTATTTTGAGAGAGAGAAGAGTGTGTGTGAGAGAGGGGGAGGGGCAGAGAGAGAGGGAGAAAGAGAGAATCCCAAGCAGGCTTCGTACTGTCAGTGCAGAGCCCAATGCAAGACTCAGTCTCACCAACTGTGAAATCATGATCTGAGCTGAAGCCAGAAGTCTGATGCTTAACCCAACTGAGCCAGGGGCCCCTGGAAGTGGAGTTTTTAAAGCATGTCTTACTGAGACCATAAACCAGTGTTTTCTAATGGATAGAATTAAGTTAGCTCTGGATTATCTTCACTGGTAAAGAGCATGGGTAATTTCTAAAATAATTTATAAAAACTTTTTTCCTGGGACGACTGGGTGGCTCACTTGGTTAGGCGTCTGACTCTTGATTTCGGCTCCGGTCATGATCTTGAGGTTTGTGGGATCAAGCCCTACATTGGGCTCCTCACTGACAGCTCAGAGCCTGCTTGGGATTCTCTCCCTCTCTCTCTGCCTCTCCCCCCCACCCCCCACACACATGTGCACATTCTCTCTCTGTCATAAAGAAAAAAATAACCTATCCTTTCCCTATAATCTCAAAGCCTAAGATATAATCATAAATAATACAGCCATTTCTGTTATATCGCCATATAGAAAAGCCTATTGTTTTCTGAAATCATGCACTAAAAACAGAGGTTATCAAGCCTCTCAAAACCTATCCAACTGTTTTTTTTTAACCTATCCAACTTTTAAGGATCTGAATACACATTTCCCCGCAAAACATACCAGTGGCCAATAGGCACATGAAAGATGCTCTTGACATTATCGATTAGGGTAATCCAAATCCAGACCACAGTGAGATACCACTTAACATCCCCTAAGATGGCTACAAGCAAAAAGGCAAGTAATAAGTGTTAGCTAGGATGTGGAAGCATCTGAACCCTGATGCGTTGCTGGTGTCATTGCTGGTGCAGGCGCTTTGCCAAACTGTTGGCAGTTCTTCAAAAGATTTAAATATAGAGTTACTGTCTGACCCAGGAATTCCACTCTTGTTCCAAGTGAAATAAAAACACTAGCCCATGCAATAATTTGTACACAAATGATCATAACAGCTTTATTCATAATAGTCAGAAAGTGGAAACAACCCAAATATCCATCATGTGATGAATGAGTAAAGAAAAAGTGATACATCCATACTTTGGAATGTTATTCAAGAAAAAGGAATGGAATACTGATAGGCTACATGGGTGAACCTTGAAAACACTATGCTAAATCAAAGAAGCCACACACACAGAAGACCGCATATTATATGATTCCACTTATTATAAAATGTCCAGAGTAGGCAAATACATAGAGATAGAAAGTAGAGTAGTGTTTGCCAGGGGCTGGTTGGAGGGAAATGGGAGTGACTGCTAATAGGTACAGGGTTTCTTTTACTGGTGATAAAAGTGTTCTAAAATTAGATTGTGGTGATCGTTGCACAGCTCTGTGAATATGCTAAAAACTATTGAATTATATACTTTAGATGGCTGAATTATATAGTATTTGAATTAGATCTTAATAAAGCTGTTAAAAAAAAAAAAAGACAAGCCTGTACAAGTTTTCAACCAGAGCAATAACAAAACCCCATAACCAGCACGATACAAATACTAACATAGGTAAATTTCCACTAACATTTGCACCTGGTATTACAGTCAGTCCATGCTTTGCATTCCTGTGTTGTGGGTGTTATTGTGAGTGTTTTGCTTCCCTTGAGGAACAGTTTATCATCATTAAAAACACCATTCAGGGGCGCCTGGGTGGCGCAGTCGGTTAAGCATCCGACTTCAGCCAGGTCACGATCTCGCGGTCCGGGAGTTCGAGCCCCGCATCAGGCTCTGGGCTGATGGCTCAGAGCCTGGAGCCTGTTTCCGATTCTGTGTCTCCCTCTCTCTCTGCCCCTCCCCTGTTCATGCTCTGTCTCTCTCTGTCCCAAAAATAAATAAACGTTGAAAAAAAAAAAAATTAAAAAAAAAAAAACACCATTCAGAGATAGCAACCTTCATTAGTCATTATTATTTTAAAATAAATTAGCAACCTTCATTAGTCATTATTATTTTAAAATAAATGAGGGAAGCATCTTCACAGCTTTTTATGGGTACTTGCAGTTTCCCTGTAGTATTAGTTTTCTATTGCTGTTGTAAAAATTGTCACACACTTTGTAGCTTAAAACAATATAGTTTATCATCTTACAGTTCCGTAGGTCAGACGTTTGACCCAGGTTTCACTGGGCTAAACTCAAAGTGTTGGCCAGGTTATGTTCATTTCTGGAGGCTCTACAGGAGAATGGTTTTTTCCCTTCTTAAGCTTGTAGAGATCATCTGTGTTCCATGGCTCATGGCCCCCTTACTCCATCTTAAAGCCAGTAACTGTGGTTGAATGTTGTCACTCTTAACCTTCTGTAGTCACTCTCCCTCTGACTTTTCCTCTTCCCTCATCTACTCTTTGTAAAAAATCCTAGCGTAATTAACATACAGTGTTATGTTAGTTTCAGTGTACAATATGATTCAGCATTTCTATACATTATTCAGTGCTTATTGCAATAAGTGTACTCTTAATCCCCTTCACCTGTTTTACCCATCTCCCCACCTACTTCTTTGTAACTATCAGTTCTCTGTATTTAAGAGTCTGGTTTTTTGTCTCTCTTTTTTTTTCTTTGTTCATTTGTTTTGTTTCCTAAATTGCAACATGGGTGAAATCATTTGGTATTGTCTTCTCTGGCTTATTTCAATTAGCATAATACACTCTAGCTCCATCCATGTTGTTGCAAATGGCAAGATTTCATTTTTTTAATGGTTGAGTGATATTCCATTGTATATATATACCACATCTTCTTTATGCATTAATTAATCAATGGACACTGGGTTGCTTCCATATTTTGGCTGTTGTCAATAATGCTACAATAAACGAAGAAGTGCATATATCTTTTTGAATTAGTATTTTTGTATTCTTTGGGTAAATATCCATTAGGGGAATTACTAGATCATGTAATAAATCGACTTCACATTTTTTGAGGAACTGTTATACTGTTTTCCACAGTGGCTGCACCAGCTTGCATTCCCACCAGCATTGCATGAGGATTCCTTTTTCTCTACATCCTTGCCAATGCTTTTTTCTTGTGTTTTTGATTTTAGCCATTCTGGCAGGTATAAGGTACTCATATGAAGGTACAGGTATAAAGAACTCGTTGTGGTTTTGATTTGCCTTTCCCTGATGATGAGTGATGTTGAGCATCTTTACATGTGTCTGTTGGCCATCTGTACGTCTTCTTTGGAGAAATGAATGTTCATACGGAGAAATGACTGTTTTAAATTGGATTGTGTTTTTGGTGTTGAGTTGTGTAACCTTTTTATATATTTTATCAGATAAGTCATTTGCAAATATCTTCTCCCATTTAGTAGGTTGTCTTTTTGTTTTGTTGATTGTTTCCTTTGCTGTGCAGAAGCTTTGTATTTTGATGTAGTCCCAATAGTTTGTTTGCTTTTGTTTCCTTTGCCTTAGGAGACATACCTAGAAAAATGTTGCTATAGCCAGTGTGGGAGAAATGACTGCCTATGTTCTCTTCTATGATTTGTATCGTTTCAGGTTTCATGTTTATGTCTGTAATCCATTGTGAGTTTATTTTTGTGTATGGTGTAAGAACATGGTCCAGCTTCATTCTTTTTGCATATGGCTGTCCACTTTTCCCAATGCCGTTTGTCAAAAATTAATTGATTGAGTATATAATCGTGGGTTTGTTTCTGGGCTCCCTATTCTGTTCTGTTGATCTGTGTGTCTGTTTTTGTGCCAGTACCATCCTGTTTTGATTAATACAGTTTTGTAGTATATTTTGAAATCTGGGATTGTGATACCTCCATTTTTCTTCTTTTTTTTTGAAGAATGCTTTGGCTGTTCGGGGTCAGTTGTGGTTCCATACCAATTTTAGGATTTTTATTCTAGTTCTGTGAAAAATGCTGTTGGTATTTGATTGGGATTACATTAAATCTGTAGATTGCTTTTGGTAGTAGGGACATTTTAATAGTATTTGTCCTCCGAATCCATGAGCATGGAATATCTTTCCATTTGTTTGTGTTGTCTTCAATTTCTTTGATCAGTGTTTTATAGTTTTCAGAGTACCAGTCTTTCACCTCCTTGGTTAACTTTATTCTTAGGTATTTTATAATTGGTGCAGTTACAAATGGGATTTTTTTCTTAATTTTTCTTTCTTAATTTCTACTTCATTATTAGTGTATAGAAATGCAACAGATTTCTGTATATTGATGTAATATCCTGTGACTTTACTGAATTCATTTATCAGTTCTGGTAGTTTTTTCGTGGAGTCTTTAGGGTTTTCTATATATAGTATCATGTCATCTGCCATAGTGAAAGTTTTACTTCTTCCTTTCCTATTTGGATGCCTTTTATTTCTTTTTTGTAGTCTGATTGCTGTGGCTAGCACTTCCAGTTCTATGTTGAATAAAGTGGCGAGAGTGGACATCCCTCTCATGTTCCTGACCTTAGGGTAAAAGCTGTCAGTTTTCCCCATTGAGTATGATGCTTGCTGTGGGTTTTTGATATATGACTTTTATTATGTTGAGGTGTGTTTCCTCTAACGCTACTTTATTGAGGGTTTTTTTTTTTTATCATGAATGGATGTTGTACTTTGTCAAATGCTTTTTCTGCATCCATTGAAGTGATCCAGTGGTTTTTGTCTTTTCTCTTGTTGATACGATGTATCACACTGATTGATTTGCAAATTTTGAACCATCCTTGCATGGGAGGAATAAATCCCACTTGATAATGGTGAATTATTTTTTAATGTGTTGTTGGATTCGATTTGCTGATAATTCTGTTGAGAAATTTTGCATCTGTGTTCATCAGAGTTATTGGCCTGTAGTTTTCTTTTTTTGTAGTGTCTGTATCTGGTTTTGGTATCAGGATAATGCTGGCCTCATAGAATGAATTTGGAAGCTTTTTTTTTGAAATAGTTTGACAAGAATAGGTATTAACTCTTCTTTAATGTTTGATAGAATTCATCTGTGAAGCCATCTGGTCCTGGATGTTTCATTTGTTGGGAGTTTTTTGATTATTGATTCAATTTCATTGCTGGTAATCAATCTATTCAAATTTTCTATTTCTTCTTGATTCAGTTTTGGGAGGCTATATGTTTCTAGGAATTTATGCATTTTTTTGGTTATCCAGTTTGTTGGTATATAATTTTTCATAATATTCTCTTATAATCCTTTGTATTTCTGTGGTGTTGGTTGTTATTTTTCTTCTTTCATTTTTTATTTTGTTTATTTGAGTCCTTTTTTTTTTTTTTTTGATGAGTCTGGCTAAAGGTTTATCAATTTTTTTGATCTTTTCAAAGAACCAGCTCCTGGTTTCATTGATCTGTTTCACTGGTTTTTTAGTTTCTATTTTGTTTATTTCTTCTCTAATTTTTGTCATTCCCTTTCTTCTACTGGTTTGGGGTTTTGTTTGTTCTTCTTTTTCTAGCTCCTTTAGCTGTAAGTTTAGGTTGTGTATTTGAGATTTTTCTTGCTTCTTGAGGTAGGCCTGTGTTTTCCTCTTCCACTTTTTTTTTTTTAATTTTTAATGTTTATTTATTATTGAGAGAGAGAGACAGAGCGTGAGCAGGGGAGGGGCAGAGAGAGGGAGACACAGAATCTGAAGCAGGCTCCAGGCTCTGAGCTGTCAGCACAAAGCCCGACACGGGGCTCAAACCCACAAGCGCGAGATCATGACCTGAGCAAAGTCGGAAGCTCAACCAACTGAGCCACTCAGGCGCCCCTCCTCTTCCACTTTTTTTTTTTTTTTTAATTTATTGTCAAATTGGTTTCCATACAACACCCAGTGCTCATCCCAACAGGTACCCTCCTCAATACCCATCACCCACCCTCCCCTCCTTCGCACCCCCCATCAGCCCTCAGTTTGTTCTCAGTTTTTAAGAGTCTCTTATGCTTTGGCTCTCTCCCACTCTAACCTCTTTTTTTTTTTCCCCTTCTCCTCCCCCATGGGAGTTTCTCCTGTTAAGTTTCTCAGGATCCACATAGCTCCTCTTCCACTTTTAAGGAGCCTTGTGATTATGTAGGGTTTGCCGAGGTAGTTCAGAATCATCTCCCTATCTTAAGGTTAGTTGATTAGCAACTGATTGATTCCATCTATCACCTTAGCTCTTCTTTGCCATGTAAGCTACCACTCACAGGTTATAGGGATTAGGACATGGACATCTTTGGGCGGCTATTGTTTTGCCTACCACACCTGGATAGTCTAACAGTGGGAAGTACTAGCAGTTCTTGAGGCCACTGCCCTAGTCACTGCTTGCTCTAAAGAAAGACACTTGTGCAGGACATTCAGCTGTTTTTCCTTAATGTCTTGATGTATTATTAAAGCTTCTATTTCATTGTGGCTAAACTTGTTTCAGTCATTTTAAAAGTTGGAAAAAGTTGCATATGAAGCAGCATGACTTTCACCTTATACCAATTATGAATGTACTTCCTTTCTTTAAAGAAACAGGTTATAGCAGACAAACTGTGTTTTGACTTATTTCCTTTCCAGTGATGTGAATATAAAACATATATTTGTGTATTTGCTTATAAAAAATGGTACCATGCTAGATTTTTAAAATACAATTATATTTTGTGATGATTCAGGAAATTTCAGTAGCATAAGGAAAGAGCTCTAAGGGTTGCTATCTGTATGTAATGGTCAACTTGCTAAAAATAAAAAATGTATGTAACCCATAACATTTTTCTTTTAATTTTAAAAGTTGCTTAATGTAGGATACTTGTAAAACATAGAAAAGCTCGAAGAAGTGTTTTGGTGTATTCAGTTACTTTTTTTTTCTGTAAAGTATAGACACTCCTGTATTTTTGTATTTTTTCTAGAAAAATGAAATCATACTATAAATTACTATTGAAGCATATTTTTCTTCTTAAAACTCATTTCATCCTGTTTTTATTATTGTAGATTTTTATTACACTAAAAAAATAGTATAATGAACCCTCCTATACCCATTACCCAATTTAAGCAATTATCAACATTTTGCCAATCTTACAACTCTTTTAAAACCAAATATTGGAGTTTTTGTGCTTTTCAGATACATGATCTCATTTTTTTCTAACAATAGCCCTGTGAAGTAGGGGTGAGTATCTTACTAGATTTATAGGTAACCTCTGAGATTATGTTATTGGTGGTGATAGACTTACAGTCTGTGCTCTCTTGTGGTCCTATGGAGTGTACATATTTCATAACTGTAAGTCAGAAGTAAAGTTTGTTGCTAATCTGTTATCTGTCAAATATATTATAGAAACCACATCGTTCTGCAGGAAACCGCACAGCATGCCACCAGGTTCATAGCTTTGGCAAGTGTTGGAAATCCCGAAAAGAAAAAGGTAAAGATTTGAGTATTTGATGGTAGGTTAATATTCATTGTCTGTCTGATAAATGTTTTTCTTGCCAGTTTAGCATTCAGATCTTTCTTCTCCCCAATTGCAAGGTTCCAGCACTTTAGTGACTCCTTTCTAAAGATGTGATAATAAAAAGTCAGGTTTCCTTGGGTCCTTTGTAGGAGATTTTAGAGAAGGGTTTGGGAAAATAGGCCCGGTGGAACAAAGGCAAAATTTCAAATGAATGAAGTTCCTTTCTTCCCATATCCATGTAGTTGTCTTTGTAAGTATTCATGAGTTTGCTCTCAGATGGTACTCTTGCTTTGTTTCTTTTAGCAACTTCATTTAGCAGAAATAATAGAAGCCTTTATAGGATTTACCTAACCACTCCTTGGCTTTGGAAAATCTTAGTGATACCTGGAATCTATCTTTGTACTGGAAAACAGTGCAGGTGAATGAAAGAGAATATACCAGAAAAGTATGTTATTTTTCTCACTTCCTGTGAGCATTTCTGATTCTCTAGGGTCAAAAGCAGGATATTGTAGATTGAGACAGCTAAAATCAGAACAATCAGGCAAGGGAAGAATAGCCAGATAAATAATGTGAAGATTATTCTGTAACGTGTCATAAACCACATGCACAGAAAAGATAAGCAAGTACATATTTTTTTTCCCGTAGTTTCTTAAACTTTTAAAAAGCCCAACGTGTTCAGGGGCGCCTGGGTGGCGCAGTCGGTTAAGCATCCGACTTCAGCCAGGTCACGATCTCGCGGTCCGTGAGTTCGAGCCCCGCGTCGGGCTCTGGGCTGATGGCTCAGAGCCTGGAGCCTGTTTCCGATTCTGTGTCTCCCTCTCTCTCTGCCCCTCCCCTGTTCATGCTCTGTCTCTCTCTGTCCCAAAAATAAATAAACGTTGAAAAAAAAAATTTAAAAAAAAAAAAAAAAAAAAAATGCCCAACGTGTTCTTAGTAAGTTTAGATTTGTGATTTTTTTTTTTTATTGTAGCACTCACAGTATTTTCACTATTTTTATGATAGCGATATTTTACTATTGCTTTATTCTCAGGGCCACGTTAGCCTTGGCCCTAAGCAATTCAAAGTCTTTTGACTATAGTAAAAAAGTAGGGACATTTTTAAATTTGGCAAGCATTATTAAATTCATCTCAAAATTTTGTTCCAGTTTATACCCTCACCAACAGTATACTCACGGAGTAGTGTCAAATTTTTATTAACACGTTTACCAATGTGATGGATGAAAGATGGTGTGTCATTGTTAATTAGTTGCATTTCCATGGGCAGTACTGAGGTTAAATATCTATTCCTGTCTCATCTAAAGATTTCAGTATCTGTGCCATTAGCGTGAGTGTCTAGATACCTGTATGAATATTTACTTCTTTGCTATTAGTCCCTAAGAAAACCCATCAGCATATGCAGCAGAAATTGTATAATATCAGAGGGAAACATCAAGGTGTCTAATTTAATTTTCATCAGGAAAAAAGAATGGCAGTGCCACAATTCTGTTAACAAAAAGTACACAAAGATAAAGGAATCAGAGACAGAAGCAGGGTGTCTGCAAAGGTTATGGAACAAGTCCCACCTGAGCCTGGTAGTTTTGTGTAAAAGCTGATTTTTGTAAGGACTAGGGCTTTGATTTGTTTCTTCATCAGCCCTTGGTTAGCTTCTACGGAGATCACTAAATTGACATTTGATTTATTGTGTATTCTCTGAGCCATAAACAGGCCAGTTGCTGTTCTTTTACTTTTACTCAGTTTCTGAAGCTTCTGTGAATAAATTAGATTGGTTACATTTGGATAAATGGTATTTTCCCTAATCTTATGTTTGTTTGTTTTTTCCTCCACAGTATCTTTATGCATTCAGTATTGTTCCCATGAAACTAATGGATGCAGCAGAACTGGTAAAACAGCCTCCTGATGTTACTGAAAACCCTTACAGAAAATCTGGGAAGGAAGCATCCATGGGAAAGCCAATTCCTGCCCCAGAGGTACGTGCTGATTGAGAGGTGGTATTTTCTGGGCAGGACTGCCTATTACATACGTGCTTTTCCTGGTTATAGTTTAGCTCATAAGACCAGTTTAATCCCTAGAATCTAAATCTTTTTTTTTCCTTGGGAAATTATGATGGTGTTTAGAAAGGCTTAGTAGATTTCACGTAAGTGCAGTGTTTTTTATTGTAGCTTGGGGTTAACAGTTTCATATTTTACGTCCTTGTCTAAACTTGGCTCGGGTGTTAGCATTGCAAATGTTGAGTCTTACTTTGTCAAAGTTGAGACTTTAACTTTTCAGGCAAGGATCCAACAGCTTGGAAGCAATGTAATTTGTGATTTTATAACAAGTGCTAGCAGGTAAATAGGACTCACTCTGAAGAAATTTCCTAATAGCAGACTTTTCTGAAATTAATTTTTCCCGCATTAAAGCAAGGAGTGTCAAGTTCCCTGACTAGTATGCATTGTCTACTTTCTTAGACCTTTTTCTTTTCTTTTTTTTTTTTTAAACATTTATTTACTTCTGAGAGACAGAGCATGTAAGCGGGGAGGGGCAGAGAGAGAGAAGGAGACACAGAATCTGAAGCAGACTCCAGGCTGTGAGCTGTCAGCAGAGTCTGACATGGGGCTCGAACCCATGAAATGTGAGATCATGACCTGACCTGAAGTCAGATGCTCAACCGACTGAGCCACCCAGGCGTCCCAGACCTTTTTCTTTTTGAACAACCTCCTCATCTTCTTTTTTTAAATTTTTATTTAATTTGTTTTTTTAAATTTACATCCAAGTTAGTTAGCATATAGTGCAACAATAATTCCGATTCCTTAATGCCCCTTACCCATTTAGCCCATCCCCCTTCCACAACCCCTCCAGTAACCCTCTGTTTGTTCTCCATATTTATGAGTCTCTTCTGTTTTTGTCCCCCTTCCTGGTTTTATATTATTTTTGCTTCCCTTCCCTTATGTTCATCTGTTTTGTATCTTAAAGTCCTCATATGAGTGAAATCATATATTTGTCTTTCTCTGACTGACTAATTTCACTTAGCATAATACCCTCTAGTTCCTTCCACGTAGTTGCAAATGGCAAGATTCATTCTTTTTGATTGCCGAGTAATATTCTATTGTGTATCTATACCACGTCTTCTTTATCTATTCATCCATTGATGGACATTTTGGCTCTTTCCATACTTTGGCTGTTGTTGATAGTGCTGCTATAAACATTGGGGTGCATTTGCCCCTTCAAACTAGCACACCTGTATCCCTTGAATAAATACCTAGTAGGGTAATTGCTGGGTCGTAGGGTAGTTCTATTTTTAATTTCTTTTGAGGAACCTCCATTTGTTTTCCAGAGTGACTGCACCAGTTTGCACTCTCACCAGCAGTGCAAAAGAGATCTCTTTCTCTGCATCCTCACCAACATCTCTTGTTGCCTGAGTTGTTAATGTTAGCCATTCTGACAGGTGTAAGGGGTTATCTCATGGTGGTTTTGATTTGTGTTTCCCTGATGATGAGTGATGTTGAGCATTTTTTCATGTGTCAGTTGGCTACCTGGATGTCTTCTTTGGAGAAGTGTCTAGTCATGTCTTTTGCCCATTTCTTCACTATATTATTTGTTTTTTGTGTGTTGAGTTTGATAAGTTTTATAGATTTTGGATACTGACTCTTTATCTGATATGTTGTTTGCAAATATCTTCTCCCATTCCGTTGGTTGCCTTTTAGTTTTGCTGATTGTTTCCTTTGCTGTGCAGAAGCTTTTTATTTTGATGAGGTCCCAATAGCTCATATCTGCTTTTGTTTCCCTTGCCTCCAGAGACGTGTTGGGTAAGAAGTTGCTGCGGCCAAGGTCAAAGAGGTTTTTGCCTGCTTTCTCCTCGAGGATTTTGATGGCTTCCTGTCTTACATTTAGGTCTTTTATCCACTTTGAGTTTATTTTTGTGTATAGTGTAAGAAAGGGGTTGAGGTTCATTTTTGTGCATGTTGCTGTCCAGTTTTCCCAGCACCACTTGCTGAAGAGACAGTCTTTATTCCATTGGATATTCTTTCCTGCTTTGTCAAAATTAGTTGGCTGTACGTTTGTGGGTCCATTTCTGGATTCTCTATTCTGTTCCGTTGATCTGAGTATCTGTTGTTTTGCCAGTATCATACTGTCTTGATGATTACAGCTTTGTAATACAGCTTGAAGTCCGGGATTGCAATGCCTCCTGGTTTGGTTTTCTTTTTCAAGATTGCTTTGGCTATTCGGGATCTTTTCTGGTTCCATACAAATTTTAGGGTTGTTTGTTCTAGCTCTGTGAAGAATGCTGGTGTTATTTTGATAGGGATTGCTTTGAATATGTAGATTGCTTTGGGTAGTATTGACCTTTGAACAATATTTGTTCTTCCTATCCAGGAGCATGGAATCTTTTTCCATTTTTTTGTGTCTTCAACTTCTTTCATAAGCTTTCTATAGTTTTCAGTGTGTAGATTTTTCACCTCTTTGACAGCCTCTTCATCTTTTTAATTAAAGCTCAGTTTGACTTGATTGACCTGTGAGATTGTAGGGCTACACCAATGCGCTACTAAGAGAGAGGAAAAGGCATTTGGAGGGCTTTGTAATGCTCTGTTTTAGGCAAGAATTGCTCTATAACTTGCATTTTAACTTGCTTTTACAAAAAGATGGATTTGGTGCTATTTTGGGTATGTGTTGAGAAGTATGACTGAGAGTCCAGGCATCAGGATTAGGAAGATATTTTTCTTATCTAGAGTGGGTAGAAAGGGCCAGGAGGCAAGATAGATATGACATGGCAAGAATGTTCCCTTGTATGTGAATGGTTGACTCCTTGTCTAAAGATTAGTTTAATAACATTTACTCTTCTGCCTTTGGCCATTTCAGGAAGAATCAGCCTGTCAGTTTTTCTTTGATTTAAATGAAAAGCAGGGAAGGAAGCGTTCATCTACAGGCAGAGATAGCAAGTCTTCTCCTCACCCAAAGCAACCTCGCAAACCTCGTAAGTATCTTGGTTCCTGAAGTCTCCTGTGTGAGCAGTGACTTATTTCAGATCTTGTGTGGGACGTGGCATTTCTAAGAGAGCTTCCTCTGGCAGAGGAAAACTGTACAATGGGTCATTAAGACCAAAAATAAAATACTACTAAGATGGCCTGATTTTGAGAATGTCTGAGCTGTTCTTGAAAGAACTATGGGGAAAGTTCCTTCCCTTCCCTGGATGTCTATAAAACATATGAGGTAAAGAGCCTACAAGACCCACGAGGTTCATAAAATAATAGAATAATCAAACTGGCAAAAAAGGAATTTAAGGTTATTTCATTGATACCCTCTTTCTCCACCCCTTGTTTCAAAGTTGAAGAAGCTGACCTTGTTGGAGTAAACTTATTACCCAGAGTCGTGTGGCGAGCCAGTGGCATAGTTGGGGCTAGAATTGGGACTCCTGACATCCAGTTCAGTGGTCTGTCATTGCAGCCTGTTGCCAGTTAAATGCTACTTTGGTCAGTATGTGGTCATCCACTTGTGGTTATCCACCTGTGAATTGATTGCAAATTCAGAGCTTTTCTAATACAGGTTAGTTTCATTGATAAAAGTGCTGGGATCGCGGGGGTCACAGTAGAAGCACAGCAGGACCAGCTCTTTACGGCAGTGCTGTATATGAATCTTTGCAAGGTATAAAGATCAGACAAGGCTGAGTTCTACAGGGTGATTAAATGTTGGAGTGCTTGCACCATAGTAACATGTGCTTTCTTCCATATGAAGCTCAGCCTCCAGGACCTTGCTGGTTTTGCCTTGCCAGCCCTGAAGTGGAAAAGCACTTGGTGGTCAACATTGGCACACATGTGAGTTACTTCCTCGGACCTTTTACAGGGAAGGACATCCTTATTTGTTTGTTTTTTATTAACTTAATAAAGTTAAAATTTATATATCATAAAATTTACCCACTTTAATAATTCACCAATTTTTAGTAAGCTTACCAAGTTGTGCAACCGTCATATAACACAGTTTTAGAATATGTCCTTCACTCATGCCCATTTACAGTTAATCCCCATTCCCATCCTCAGCCCCAGGCAACCACTAATCTACTTTCTGTCTCCATAGGTTTGCCTTTTCTGGACACTTCATATAAATGGAATCCTACAATATGTGGTCTTTGTGTCTGGCTCTTTATGTTCAGCAGATATTCTTGAGGCTTATCCATGTTGTAGCATGTATCAGTACTTCATTCCTTTTTATTGTCAAATAGTGTTCCATTCTATATATTTATCAGTTGATGGGCTTGGGGTTGTTTCCACTTTATAGCTATTAGGAATAATGCTGCTATAAACATTCGCATGCGTATCTTTGGACGTATATTTTCATTTCTTTTGGATAGATAACTAGGAATGGAATTGCTGGTAAATTTATGTTTAATTTTTTATGAAACTGCTGAACTATTTTTCTAAATGGCTGTAACATCTTATATCCCCACCAGCGGTGTATGTGTATGTATGTATGAGGGTTCCTGTTTTTCCACATTTCCAATATTCGTTATTGTATGTGTTTTTGATTATAGTAATTCTCCTGTGGTTTTGTAGTGCGTTTCACAAGATTGCCCCCTCCCTACCTCCCTCTCTGACAAATAGGTGTATCTCCTAGGGCGATGGTTTCATATACTTCTTGACTTTCTTACTGATTCATACTAAATAATTACATAAAAGACTAGTGATAAATTCTCAGTTTTGCCTTGTAATAGAGGATATAGCTTCCTAAGAGAAGAATACCCATATCCACATTCTTAGTGTGGGTAACTGGGAACCCAAGATAATAATTACAGGGTTGCTTGGTAAGCACTGAATCAAATAACTGGATGATCTTGAGGATGATTTTATTCAGGCTATGGAAACTCTGATGAATTATGTGTGTCTTACTGTAAAGTGATCCTATTTGAGACTTCCCCAGATACTTTTCCTTGGGCAGGACTTGTTTAGATGTTGAATAATACTGGTCTTTGACCCATTTTCCTGGGATCTGTGTAGACCCTTATTGTTCTTCATTCACTTAGAATGAAGAAAGCTTAGTTCTTAGGTTTACAGTTACACCCTAGTCACCTGAAACAGGAATTGGCTGTTTCTTGTGGCCTTTGATGGCAATATTTACAGACCATTTCTTAGTGTGTAGTGCTTCTGCAAAATAGAGACTTTCATCTCTTTTTCATTGATTTATTCTAATTTTGGTTTCTGAGGGTGACCATTTCCTCAACTTATCCTATTTCAGGGCCCTTTATCGTGGCCTCCTACAGACTGACCAGAGTCTCGATTTCATCATTCTTTACTTCTTTAGTCACATCTCTGTCTGCCTTTATAGTTTCAGACTGAAGAGTCCCAGTCTTCTACGTTTAAATTTTTGTCTCGATTATCGGCACACTCCCCTATCTCTAGGGGGAGCCCTAATGGGGTCAAGGCCTGTGACCTAATTGAGTCATGGAGTCTGTGGATGAACTCTTCAGTGGGAAGAAAAGCAAACTTGAAAAGTTTTTGGTTTTACAGGAACGCCCTTTATGGATTATCTCTCTTGGCCCTTGTTTTCCTCTTTGGATTAGTTCATGCCATTCTACTCGCCCATACAACTTGTAAGGTAGGCAGGCTGTGGACTGCCTTCTGTTTGGGAAGCTTCAATAGTTCAAAATGGCACACAGGGGAAGAGAGATTTGGAATAGGTGACTTAGTTCAGGGCTGCTGTAGGCCTCAGGGAAAATTGATCTTTCCTTTCCATTCACCTTTTAATTGCCCAGGGTTATCTAGCCTAGGGTATGTGCATAGGGGATGATCAAGGAAACCTTTTTCCTTTTCATCTAGACCTGAAGCTGGAGAGGCAAAAAATATCTCAGGTCTTATTTGTGGCCCAGCCCAGCACCCCAAGTAGGAGGCCATATGAAAATTTTAGCCTAGAGCCTGCCCAGTATTCAAGTCTGCACTTCATTGCTCTTACATTGCTCTTTGTCTAGTAGAAACTTCTTGGGAACCTCTGGGACCTTTGGGTATCTGGCACAGGATTTAGAATCTCCTCCCTGCAACCATTCCTCTTGATCTCCTCTCACTACATTTTTGTCTTGGCTTTCTGTGTCTTTGCTATGCCTTCCTCAAGGGATATACATGGAACTGTGCTAATGGCCCATGACCACAAACTAGTAAAATGAGGGAAGCACTGCTAAGAGTCCAAAATAATTGATGTATTTTACTTATGGGAGAAACATTTATTCAGGTCTTATTTACACATTTTTAGAGATAGTGCAAGTACAGAACAAAAGGAGAGAAATTGAGAGGAGGAGGAGATTGGGCAAATATGAAATTGTTCACAGGAACTGGGAGGTACCGCATTGGGGCGAGGGGTGCTTTTTAGTCTGGACTAGAAACCTGGTTGTTACAATATGAAAACTGATGTTTATCGTAGTGACCCTTTGACATAAAGAAAAGGCTTGAAGACTCAGGCTTCAAGAGTAACCTTTTAAAGCATACAATCAAAAATAGTTGTAAAAATGAAGAAAATGAGCACTTAATGAAGTTTCAATGAATCTTAGTCATCTGGAAGATTAAGTTTGTAGATGTGCTTGGTCCTCTATGCCAAGTAAATCAAGGATGATCATGCTTTAGTTTGTTTCTGATACCTCTTCTGCCCTTCTATTAGATTTTCTCAGTGTTAATAATAAATTACTCCTTCCTTCAGTCTTAACTTTGAACTCACAGCACTAAAAGGAAATGTCAGATTGCTTTTTCTAAAGCTCTAGTACATTCACCTGCATTGATATTCACTGGCCATTTCTCTACTCATAATGTTTTCCTTTCAGAGAGTGTCTAAGTGTGGAGAAGTCTTGCATGTTTGGTTTTGACAGAGATAGTTTTAGTTGCTGTTTAGCTGCTGACATCCACTGTTGGGAACCATGGTTTTCTACCTCTTTGGATATGTCCGAGTTTGAGGTTTCTGCTTCTTCCTTCCACCCCATTAGGTTATATGTTTGCTTTAATTTTATAGAGGTTAGGCAGCAGCTTAAGGCTGTAGGGACACTGGATGCTAATCATGACATCTTAGCTTTTTTTGTGAGCCCAGAGGATGTATTTAGGAGTGGGGTGTGGGATTCGATGTTAGCATAGGGAAAGTGGTCATTTTGAAATGAAGTGGTGTCTTTCTGTGGTTGAAGGCCATAATAACTGAAAAATTGTTTTCCAGTTTGGAGCCTGGGAAGCTATTTGTTGGTCTCCTTAAGTTTTGGGGTTTTTGAAGCCAAAAGCCCATTTGTGTGCCATTCATTTGCTCCCAGTTCATTTGATAGAGATTTGTTACATCTAATCTTCTTCATCACCAGGTTCTTGTTATAACTTCTAAAAGCAGGTTTTTATTGTCAGAGAGTTTCTGTTAATAGCCTCTCAACACTTTTTCTACACCCTCATGCTCACTCTTTGTGTAGGCTTTTCTCCCTGAAGAATCGTACCTGTGGCATTGGTAACTTGATTCTGTGTGCTTTCTCTTTAGTGCTACCTTGCCCTGGCCAAAGGAGGCTTATCTGATGACCACGTCCTCATCCTACCCATTGGGCACTACCAGTCAGTGGTGGAGCTTTCAGCTGAGGTGGTGGAAGAGGTGGAGAAGTACAAGGTGACACTGAGGCGGTTCTTTAAGAGTCGAGGGAAACGGTGTGTTCTGTTTGAGAGAAATTATAAGAGCCATCACCTCCAGCTACAGGTAGGTGGTCTCCACCCAGGGACTTGGAAGGACCCTATGAGGACATGGATGTTGACAAATATTTAAATGACATCTATTATTTATTATTGAATATTTAAATACAGGATTCCAATCTGAAATGAAATACTTAAAATTTTAATATTTAAATGTTTAATATTGAAAATACCTACTACAAATTTTCATATTAATATTTGAATAGTGTTCATTTAAAAGGTTAAAGAGTCTCTGGTAATAAATCCAGAGATTCCACAGGGAAGTGCATGGTCCGTATGAGTGGGCCAACACAGTAAGTGCTTTGTTTAGAAAAGGAAGGGATAGTTGAGGAAGACTTCAGGAAACATTTGGGCCTTGTTAGGTACAGTTGGAACAGAGTAGGTATTTGTGTGAGGCCCAGCATAAGTGAAGTCTTAAAGGTGAGAAATAGTCCCAGAGCTTTGATGGGGCTATCAGCTCAGAAATTTGGAGACTGTTTATGGATAATTCATTTGTGGTTGTGGTGGTTTTCTTTCTGGCACATTTGTTAAATTTTCAAATGGGCCTGACGCTGCCACATATATTATATAGGAGCTGGCAAGGGCTTGATGACAGAGAGATCTCTCTCTAGCCTTTGCTGCATCAGGGATTGGCTCCCACATGTGGCAAGCTATCTCATAAGTTTAAGTCCTTACAGACAGGCTGACACAAGCCTGGCTGGCTTGAGGAAAATCTCTGCTGAGGGATGTTTGTCCACCCCTGTGATGGATTTGCTACTTCTCGGGGACTGTGCAGGAGGCACTTCTTCTCTGGGACCTGTACAAAGAGTTTCTCCTATCTACCCGCCTCACCCCCCCCACCTCAGGTCATTCCTGTGCCACTCAGCCGCTGCACTACTGATGACATTAAAGATGCTTTCGTTACCCAGGCAGAGCAACAACAGATAGAACTGTTGGAAATCCCAGAACACTCTGACATCAAGCAGGTAAAACAGGAGGGGAAGGACGTTCCGGGAATAGTAAAAATGTGGTTTCTGATATGTCGAGCCTGAGGTACTATCAAGGCATTCCAAAAATGTTCAATAGGCAGGTAGACAGTTTGGACCTAGGGCATGGGATGCTGATTAGACTGGTGATGAGGATGGCATTAAAGCAATGCCTTAGTCATTCCTGGGAAGAGCAAAAAACTAGATCTTTCCTAAGGCAGGAACTTCGAAGTTCCACTGGGAGGATCTTTGTAATATCTTTGCAAAACTCTGTTCCACTAAGTACCTTGGGGTCTGTACTGTTCACATCCTTTTTCTTGGACTTCTGGACTGAATTTGTTGCCAAATTAAAGCTTAAAAGAGATGAGCTAGGTTTCACATTTTTAAAGTACTATGATATGTGCTCATACAACTCTGTTCACTCTAGATTGCACAGCCAGGAGCAGCATATTTTTATGTTGAACTTGACACAGGAGAGAAGCTTTTCCATAGAATTAAAAAGAATTTTCCTTTGCAGTTTGGAAGGTTTGTATACTTTTCTTTATTTTAAATGTATTTTCCCGAGATCTATTATGAACAGATTAGTGGGCTGCATAGACAGTTGAATAAAAAGCCAAATAGGAAACAATCCTTGCCCCAAGGAACCTTGACTTAGGGCAAGTCACATATTTGCTTACGTGGCAGTAATGTAGTGCAGAATGTGAAAAGTACCGTAACAAAGTTCTGAGGAACAGTGAACTTTAGAAATTCAGAAAAGGGAGAGTTATTTCTATTTTGTGAAAGGCTTTAAGAAAAGGTTGACACTGAGCCTGAGAGATTTAGAGGGCAAATGTCGGGGTGTGGGCCTTCTAGCCCAAAGGACTGAAGTGCTACCATTAATTGAGCATATGTACTGTGCCAAGAGCTTTACACGCATTTCCTCATTTAATCTTCCCAATTCTGTAAGATAGGTACTGTCATCCCACTTTACCAAAATGGAAAATGAGGCTCTAGAGCTGTATCCGTAGAACTTGCCATGATGGAAATGCTTTATATCTGTACTGTCCTATACAGTAATCACTAGCCACATGTGGCTACTGAGGAACTAAATTTTTAACTTGATTTTAATTAGGATTAAAATTTAAATTGCTATATCTGGCTAGTGATTCCTGTAAGTGGACAATATGGCTCTAGAGGGATTAGGTAGCTTGCCCCTGAGCACATATGGTAGGTTCGAACCCAGGTACGTTGATCTCCTAAACATGAGATTTTAACCTCCTTATTCTGTAGTGTCCTAAGGCCTAGATGAGGCTTCATTTATGTTCCTCATATCAGACAGAACATGACTGTGAAGCCATGTAGGGAGTGGCATCAACTAGGCTGACAGAAGACAGGAAGTTGCTGGCTAGAAAGAATAGAGTATGGAGAGCAAAAAATGTGAAGATAGAGTATGGAGAAGCAAAAAGATGTGCAGAACAGGTTATGTGATGCTATTGTCTGATGTGTAGTTGTTTCCTTCTCTAGTTCAAACTGAGCTTTAGGGTGCCTGCGTGGCTCAGTTGGTTAAATGTCTGACTGTTGATTTGGGCCCAAGACATGATCTCATGGTCATGAGATCGAGCCCTGTGTAGGGTTCTTTGCTGGGCGCGGAACCTGCTTGAGGCTCTCTCCCTCTGCTCCTCCACCACTCTCTCTCTCTTAAAAAAAAAAAAAAAGAATTGAGCTTTGAGTCAACTTTGAACCCTTCTTGGACTAACTTGGGAAGCCTCCAAGAGACTGCTACCATTGGGTAAGTCCAGGAAATACAGTTATCTACATTTTCAAAAAGATACTGATAAGTGAGAGTAGGTATGATTAGGGACTTCAAACATCTGACATTATCTTTTGTTGTTGCCTTAGCAACAGATGCAGATGTGGACACTGATGCCATAGGCACATAATTGCAGATACACACTGGCACGTAAGCCCGCAAGAGAGATTCTCTGAATGATTTTGTGCTCATGTTAGTTTGTTGTATTTTCAACATTGACTATTTTTCAAAATACCAGTATACAGTTATATAGCATTTTATAGTTAACAAAGTACTTGAAAAGACATTTTTCTCCCTGCTGTATAAGAGAGGTGGTTCTGTCTTCATTTTATAGGTGAAAAGTAGGCTCAAGCTTGCCTAGGGACCTAGAACTTGAGCACAGATCCTGTAACTTTTAGAAAACTCGTGATTTATTTTGGCTCTCCTGAGCCAAAGGTGGACACTTGACTAAGCCACTCAGATGCCCCTAAAGATTTTATTTGTTGGGCGGGGGAGGGGGGGGCACCTGGGTGATTCAGTTGATTAAGCATCCGATTCTTGATTTCAGCGCAGGTCATGATCTCATGGTTCATGAGTTTGAGCCCTCTGTCAGGCTCTCTGCTATCGGCACAGAGGCCGCTTTGGATCCTGTCTCCCTCTCTCTCTGCCTCTTCCCCACTCACACTCTCTCTCCCTCTCAAAAATAAATAAACAATTTAAAAAATCATATCTACTGAATTACGTTTTTAAAAAACAGATTTTATTATTTTAAGTAATCTCTACATCCAGTGTGGGGCTCAAACTCACAACCCTGAGACCAAGTATCATACACTCTACTGACTGAACTAGTCTAGCCAGGTGCCCCAAATAGAGTTATTTCTAATATATCAAAATGAGTAAAAATAAATAAAAATGTAGAGCAGTGACAATTAGAAGGTAGCCTGTATGTGAGTGTAGGTGTTAGTATGTAGTTATTCCTTAGCCTTGAGAGCCAAGATAAGTTGTTGTTGACATTGAGCCTGTGCTGTTGTGCCTATGTATGCCTGAGTCCTCTAGGAGAGGCAGAAAGTCAGTGAGATAGGATACTAGGCCTGATCTGCACCATGCCCTCAGCAAACTCATGTTCTAATTGGGATGACAAAACTAGAGTTTAAGACAAGATATATTCATAACTTGTTTGGTGCCTGGATTGTGTTATCTCCATACCTCACAAAACTCTATTGTGCATTTCATAGGTGAGGAAATCAAGACTCAGCAATGAAGTAATCCATTCAAGTCAGAGACAGCAAGTGGTTGAGCTAGGAATGGAAGTAAGCCTCTGATGTTTCTGACACCAGGGCCTGTCTTCTTTGTACTGTGTCAGTATTGCTACTCTAAGTACGAATAATGTAGTTCCAAATTGTTGAAGAGAGAGAGAGAAATAGGATTTGAAGGTTTAGGAAGGAGGTAGGACCTGAGCTGGTCACTTAAAATGAGTATTATTTTGATAGAATAGCAGGGATGGCGCTCAGGGCAAGAGAAAATGGTCTGAACAAAGAAGAATTTGCATACCTTCTTTGGGTAATGCTGAGGAGAGCTCTGTAGCTGGAGAGAAATAGAGAGAGGAGGGCTTCTGGCTAATACTGTCCATTTTTACTTATTTCTGCAGGGAGGTACTGGCCAGCGAAGCCATCCTTAATATTCCTGACAAGTCTGACTGGAGGCAATGTCAGGTCAGCAAGGAAGAGGAGGAGATGCTGGCTCGCCGCTTCCGGAAAGACTTTGAGCCTTTTGACTTTACTCTGGATGACTAAGCAAAGGGAAAAGGCACTTTATGAACTTGACAGGAAGTAGTAGTAGCTGTTTTTAAAAGAACTTACAGTCTCCCATGGGGACTGTTTCTCTGCCTCTTTTTTGTGCATTCCCATGGAACCTACCTGCAGCAAGAGGCCTAAGATTGAATATTTTTTTGAAAATATTTCTAGGATGAAAATCCTGTGTTCAAATAAGCATGTCTGTCTTCCTGCTCCAAGTACAGCTTGTGTTAATCAGCATTTTCAAAACCATTTAAACTATCAAATAAAATCCAAATGCTTTTCCATGATGGGAATCATCTTATGTTCATATTACCTATACCACTGAGATGAAGGGGTGTGTGTGTGTGTGTGTGTGTGTGTGTGTGTGTGTGTGTGTGTAATATGGTCTGGGGCTTTAGGCCAGCTGTTATCCCGGGATCTAACAGGTGGCTTCTCCCTGAACAGTCAAGGGTGAAGAAGGACCCAAAGCCTTTGCCATTTTTGTCTTAAAACATTCATCTTATTGACATAAAAGAGCTCTTTCAGCCCTTTAGCAAATACTGAACTCCTATGTGCCAGGCATTTTTCTAGGCTCCAGGAGTATGGTCATGTCCCAACATGGTCCCTGTTATCCCAGAGTTTACAGTCTAATTGGGAAGAGAAGGGACAGATTTTAAGAAAAGAAGTTCTGCTTCTTTGGATGTGTTGAGTCGTAGTATGTTCTCAGGCAGATCTAAATGCATGGAGACCTGGGTTGGTGATAGTGCTTGGAGATCATCAGGGTATAGATCGTAGCTGAAATGATGACAATGATGAAAATAAGGGTGAATACAGTCCTAAGATGAAGACGACTCCTAAAACATATCCATGTTTAAGGGGTCCTTGGAAATAGAGTGATCCACAAGTACATGGAGAAGAGAGAGGGAAAGATCACAGGGGAATGCTATATCTTGGAAGCCAAAAGAAAGATAATTGTTCCTTTATATTGGGACATTTATGGCCCAGACAGTGTTAATCCTCAGAAAATGTCTCTGAGGTAAGTATTGTTACCTCCATTTTACACATGAAAAAACAGACTCAGAGTTGGAAGATCATGAAGCCTGATGCTAACCATCCCAGGATTTAAAAACAAGCTATGCAGCATCCCTGAGAATGGGGATGTTCAAAGAGTGAACTATGAGAAACAACCTGGTTCCTGCAAATATGGCTACTTTAGGGTCAGCCGCTCATCAGTATCCTCAGGTCCTCAGCATCCCTCCCTAGCTTTTCCAAGCGAGTGTTCCAAGAATTCGGCCCCACCAGTGGAGATCAGACACACTCCCATGCCAGCTTGCAGTACACCTAGCAGACAAAGGGCTTTACAATGTTAGGGGCAATTGGTACTACAATTATCTGTGCAGTCTGCCCAACTCCATGTTTGGGAGGTACCATTTGCCATCACTTCCACATCTGATACTCCAGCTCCATGGCAACTAAGTACATGTGGGCCCCCAGAATCTGCCACCACACATAAACAGCATGACATGGTTTGTGCCATGCAGTGCTTGACATTCGGGTTGCACTATTCAGGGATTCTGAATCAGTAGACGCATGTACTCTGCCAGAAGCCAATTCAATGCTTTCAGAACAGCCAGCAACATTGGTGTGGTGTACATGCTGTATCCACCTTTATGCATCTCAGGATATGACTGACATCTGCTGTGACACAATTGTGGGTCACAAAATGTTAATTGGAGTTTAAGTACTGAGATCACCACACGTGGGGCTGTGCAAACCCTGGTCCAAGCGCACATGATCTCAAAGGGGTTCAAATGACCACCTAACGCAACTGATAACAGTTCTCTTCAGAGAACCGGACTCCACCCTGATTGTTATACTTGGAGTGACCGACTAGATTCCCCAAGTTCTGTGAGGCTGAGGCATATGACCGACTCAGTGAAGATGGAAAGCTGGTTCTTCCATGCTACAGCTATCTACCACTGGGAAGCACTTCTTGTTGCACCAGCAGCGTTCCTGAAGCTTGCCTCTGAAGCCCTGCATCACACATCAAAAACAATCCCGCAATGAGCAGCTACCGCGCTGGCAAACCCATAAATGGAAGACTGCTTGACTGCAAGTGCTGTGAGGAATTTAGGGGAAAGCTCCCGAAATCAGGAGTTACATTCTTTACTCCACAACAGCCTCACATCCTTGTCTTTAGTGATTTCCTGGAACAGGTGTACAAAGGGCTGAGCCTGACTGGTCTATGGCAGATGATCAGTCATTACAAAATAAAAGGACTATAAAACTTAATGCATCAGTGGGCCTACTAGTGCAGGATTCTTTCTAGTTTTTCGGATTCCGCAACATTTGAATCATTGGTGGTTTTTGCCAACGCCAGTTCAGCGGGTGGTGGTTGGAGGATAGATGGCAGAGGTTTGAAGAAAGGTAAAATGTACACGGGGTGGAGACGATGTGAAACTTAGAAAATGACTTGAAAGGATTGGACAGCTTATGGTTTTGAAGACTCGTATAACAAGTGGGTTCTCTCAGCCAGGAAAATGCCCAGAGGGCTTAACGGACTGAAGCCGACCTCCCACACTCCCTCTCTGGTCGCTAGCTGGCCCGCCTCCGGGAGAAGCCGGGGTAGAGCTTTTCCTGTGGCCGTTACCGGAAGTGACGCATACTTCTCGCGAGAAGAGAGACGCGCGAGCCTCGGCGGCCCGGAACCGGCCTCGGAACAGCGGCGGAACCTGAGGTCGCTTGCCCTCCCGCCCCATGGAGCGGCCCCCAGGGCTGCGGCCGGGTGCGGGCGGGCCCTGGGAGATGCGCGAGCGGCTGGGCACCGGCGGCTTCGGGAATGTCTGCCTGTACCAGCATCGGGTGAGGTGGGGCGCGAGAGGGAGCGGCGGTGGGTGTTTGTCAGAGCGTCTTTGGAACACAGTGACACTCAGTACATGAGGGATTGTCGGTGAGCCTTTGGACAGCACTGTGGTCCGGTGAGCCTGTGTGAGTGAGTGTGTGATACTGTGCTTGCGAGTCTGGTGACTGAGTCCGAGGTTGTATCTGAGGTCCCGGGTCAGTGTGTGTGAGAGCTCTGAGGGGGAACTTTTGGTATGGATGTCAAGATGTGAGAAATTGTTTACCGGGTGTGACGGTGCGTACGTGTGTCTCTGAATGTAGAGTGTCGGGGTGTGCGAGGCAGATGCACATAAGGCTTTGTATTGTGAGCACGAATGGGTGAGGAAGGGGGCTGTCTGTTGGAATGTGTGTGTTCATGCGTGTGCTTGGAGGCTACTTGATATCTGTAGGGGTTTGGAGTAGACAAGGGAGGTTTCATGGTGGGTCCCCAGTTAAGCTTTTGAAAGCATCGGGTAGGCTTCAGATTTGGGGATGCCTTCTGGGTAGGGAACAGTGTGAGGATCAGCTGGTGAAATGATCATGGCTTCCTAAGGGAAGGAAGTAGATTGGGTGTGAGGTGCTCTAGTGGGTGGAAGACAGCTAACATCAGACTCAAGAATTTTGCTTTGATTTAGTTGTAAATGTTTAACCATTGTAGCAGCAGTTAATAATCATGTTTGAGCTATGCATCTTTCGACATACCTATAAAAGCTATGAACCCTTTCCCCAGAAAAATGAGCAATTGCACATCCCCACCACCTAACGCATTGCCCTTTGAGGAGGGTCATGCTCTTCTGAATAACGTATAAATCTTTTAGAGATATAGACCCTTGACTAATAATCCTTGCAGGATAGCCTTTGTTTTGTCATCTGTAAAATGGTTATAATAATTATATACATCATGGGTCTGTTTGAGAGTTAAATAAGATAATGTTTGTAAAACTAAGTACAGAACCTGGCCTAAGATAAGCCCTCAAATGTTAGCTCCTGCTGCTGCTGTGTTGTTACTATTATCATCATCATAACCATTATTAATGGACCTTAAAAAAGGAAATGTCCAGATAAAAGTGGTGTTCCTGGAAGTGTTTGTTTGTAAAAGGTAAATCTGAGTGAAAAACATGGGACAGGATGAGCAATGAAAATATTATTAAAATGTTTGCAATCGGCCTGTGAATAGAGACTTGAATTCAAGATTTGATGTCTTAAGGAGTAGGGGGGGAGATGGGAGTATCTGGGAGGAATAGACATGCTTGTGGGGCACAGTGGCAAATGTCACTGATAGAACTGAGGAAATTTTGTGAAGCAGCTTTCTAGATTGAGCATAGGAGGCAATCTTGGAGAGAGGGAGAATGGGAGGTGAAGGACTAAGGCATTAAGCACTTTGACAGCAAGATAAGCAGTAAATTTAATAATTTTCACCATCAGAGAAGACATAAGGCACTCCAAGAGAGAAGGGGGAGCCAAGTACTTCCAGTGGAATGTTGCCTGTGGCCTTGTTATCTAAGCCTGGTCATAAGAAAAGAAAAAAATATATGCTTATTAGCATGCTTTTGTGACTGCTTTTCTTGGTCCTTGACTGGGGATAGATCAACACATCACTTTTTTAACAAAGTTGTGGTAAAGTATATAATGTAAAATTTACCGTTTTTAGCTATTTTCAGTGTACAGTTCAGTGGCATTAAGTACATTCATGTTGGTGTGCAGCCATCGCCACCGTCCATTTCCAGAACTTTTTCATCTTACCAAACTGAAACTCTGTACCCATTAAACAATACCTCCCCATTTCCTCCTTCCCCTGCCACCTAGCAATCACCTTTCTACTTTCTGTCTCTATGGAATTCATTACTTTTTTTAAAGTTTATTTATTTATTTTGAGAGAGAGAGAGAGCGCGAGCACAAGAGCAAGCGGGGGGGGGGGGGCAGAGAGAAAGGGAGATAGAGAGGATCCCAAGCAGTCTCTGTGCTCCCAGCACAGAGCCCGACATGGGGCTTGAACTCACGAACCATGAGATCATGACCTGAGCTGAAACCAAGAGTCGGACGCTTAACCAACTGAGCCACCCAGGTGCCCTAGAATTCATTACTTTCTAAATGGAAGAGATTTGGGTTCTTCTAGAATCTTAGAAATCTCTCAGGAACTCTCCACGTGTCTAGACTGGCCCTTCTCCCAAACTGGGACATTTGATGCCTGGGCCTATAGTGAAAAGAGAAGAAATACTCTGTGCTAACAGCATCGTTACTTTTCCAAGCCAGACTTAGAATTGGCCCATAACAAATTTCAAGATCCTTGGGTTTTTAGTAGAAGCCACATCTCAGTATTTTATCTACATCACTTAAATCACAATGAGGAAGAGAAAAGAATATGAGATGGTTAATTTATCTGATTATTATGCTGGGTGCTGATGGTACCCAGGTCAACAAAAGTAGT